CCTCCCCCCTTCCTCCTCCTCCTCTTCCCTCCTCCTCCTCCTCCTCCTCCTCCACCTCCTCCCTCGCTCTTGCCTTCTGCCGCTCCCGGCTTTGTGGGGGCTGGGATAAAAGGGGGGGAGCGCAGCCGGCGGCGCGGCGCGCCCAGCCCCTCGCTCCTCTCCGTTGCGCGGCGGGGACCGCGGCTCCGCTTCGCTCCGCTGTCAGCGGCACGGCCAGCATCCGGCACCCCGGGGAGCCGTGCAGCACCGCCGGGGCATGCCGGGCCTTGTAGTCCTTCCTTTCCCTTCCTTCCACCCCCCCCCCCCTCCTTTTTTTCCCCTCCTTCTTTTCCTCTTCCCCCCCTCCGCCTTCTTTCTCCTCCCCGCCGCTGCGAAGCGCGCAGGGAGGGGCGCAAGCGGGCGCGCAAGCGTTGCGCGCTGCTTGGGGAGGGGGATACTTTAACGGGGGGGGTAACCGGAGGTGGTTTGCCGCCCCCCCGCCCCGGGATGCCCCCCCCTCCCGTGATTCCAATGGGATGCGCGGGGCATTGCTGCCCTCTCCCGGGCACTGCGCACCCCCTCCCTAAGGATATGGGATTTGGGGACACCACAGCCTGTGCACCCCCGCTTTGGCACAAACCGGGGTGCGCATCATCACTTCAGCACCCTCTGCATCTCAGCACCCTACGGAGCACCCTCTGGTTTATTTTTTCCTACTTTTAATGAATTTCTTCTTAAGGTCTTGTGCCTGGAAGCATCCCCACTGTTCACTAACACCCTGCTCCTCCACATCCCTTGGGATCCCCTCTTATCCAGGTCTTCCAGGAGGCCAAGGAATGACCAAACCCCCTTGGGACAGAGCAGGGAGCTGCTCCCCAAGCACCTGGAGCACCCCATGGCTCCCCTGAGCATCTCCCCACCACCTTCCCTCCAAGCCTCCGCTGCTGTTAATGTTCCCAGAGCCAGGTAGATCCAATATAATTAAAGTAGATAATACCAGTGATGTTTGTTATGACATTGTGTTTTTGTGAGTGACGACTGAAGGGTTAACTCCAGGGAATTGGGAATATTGCTTGGCTGCTAATAACACGTGAGTCATCGATGAAAGAACACATGGGTGCAGGGAGAGACACAGCACCTGGTTCTACAGCAGCCCCTTCGCCTGCGTGGGGCAGGTCAGGGTTTGGTGCCTGTTTCTGCATCAACAGGCAGAAAGGCGTGAATCCAGACACCCCCAGTTTCACCACCACCCTGGGATGAACTGGGGTCATGCGGGGTGGTGTCTTCCACTGGGGCCCTACTGAAAAGCCATGAGCTTCATCCCATCCCATGCACCCTGTAGCGATTAGCAGGGAGGGACTGGGAACCAGTTGGATTCCACACACCCCGGGTAAGGATGGGGATCAGTCTGCATCACTCAGGAAGCAGAGCAGAGAGGAGGCCTGGGCTGCAGCCCGGTCAGCAGAGGAATCTGCACACGCAGACAGGATCGCTGCAATTGCTGGTGGCTGAGTGAGCAACTTTGCTCCCTCGTCCCCTCGCCCTGAATGTCAGCTTTGAATTTTCCTGCTATTTTTAGGGATGGTTCAAAACACCCAAGGAGGATCCCTCCCTTCTCGCCTTGCAGGGCTCTGCACCCAATGGGTACTGCAAGGCTGAGTGTAGCTGTGGGAGAGCAGGACAGAGGGACAGAGGGACAGAAAGAGGTTGTGTGAAACCCTTTCTGCTGCAAGCAGAATGGGTTAGAATGTAAAAGATTTATTCATTTAATCCAAAGCATTAAAAGGTCATGTATTAATCAAAGAGATGCTTAAAACTGTCAAAGTCCTTTGTCAGGTTTGAAGTGCATCTCTATAGTTATCATAAAATATATATATCAGTCTGGCATGGAGCCCTCGGCAGGGCTGGGAGCAGGGACGAGGAGCAAAGGCAGGCTCTTTGCAGTGGGGTCCTTGTGGAGGGGGACCTCTCCTCCAGCCCTGCTGGGCTCCCATGGGTGCTCAGCACCCCTAAGCTGAGCTGTGTGCGATGGGGGTCACTCCACTTATTCCCAGGCCTGGGCTTGTTCCCTTCTCAAGCTCGGCTGCGGGGGGTGTTTTGGTGTTGGGGGGCAGAAGGGGAGATGGGGATGAGAAGGGGGTTCGGTTTGATGCGGGTGGTGGGTCTGGGGGTGGATTCTGCCCTCACCCCTGGTTCTCAATGGGCACAGGGGGTTCGGGGACAGGGTAGGGGGCACTGGGATGGGTGAACCATGCCCAACACCACCCGAGTCACAACGCGGCGGGTGCTCAGCCCCGCCGGGCTCTCTTAATGGTGGGTGACGGAGGATGGTCCCCAGGGCCACCCGGGTCACCCGGGCACCCCGTCCCCTCTCCCAGCCCAGTGCTGTGTCAGCAGCGCTGGCGTGGACTTACGCTACCATCTAGTGGCTGCTTTGCCGAGCCGGGGCCACCGCTGTCCCCTGCTCACAGCACCGTGTCCCGCACGCTGCGGGCTCCAGCCTCAATCCCCTCCATCCCAGAGGCAAGGACGAGCTCCTCAGCACCCTGCCCAGGATCAGACCTGCCCGGGATGCTCGGCTTGGCTTGGATGAGCGGTGGTGGTCAGCAGCCTGCAAGCCACCAGCACCCTGGGGTGGGTGTATGGGGCTTGGGGACAGTGGGGTGCAGCAGGGGAGAGCTGGGGTGCACAGGGACAGTGGACCTAGGAGGACAGTGAAAGGAGAGTGATGCTTTGGTGGGATGCAGGAGTTTGGGAAGAGCGAGGTCCAGAGGCCCCCGCTTGGGTTTGGGGTGATCCTGCCCCTCTGACATTGGTGGGGCATTGGGACCAGATGGGTTTTGCCTTGGTAAATGTAAAGGGACTCATCCAACCCTGAATTCCTGCTCTGTGCTGCCCCGGAGCAGCAGCAAAACCATCCCAAACTTCTCCTCAGTGGAATCATTTCGGAGCAGCCACCATCAGCACCACACCGGCTGTGCCTCCTCCCCGTCCATGTGTGTCTGCATGGTGTCCTCATCATCAGCCAAGAACCTTCCATTCCCAAATCCTGCTGCTCCCTGGATGCTGCTGGGGCTGGTGCATGGCTCTTCCCAAAGATCAGCTGCTTATCCATGGTGAAGGGCATCCCCTCCCAGAGACTGGTGCTGAGCTGCTGGGTGACTGCAGATAGACCCCTCCCTGCCTCAGTTTCCCCTTTGGAGACACAATCCCTGCAGGCCTGGGCCATCAGTCCTAAGCCTGGTCAAGCCGAAACCCCCATTTCTGGCCACTTTCCACTGTTGTTTGGCCATTCCTGCCGCAGGGATGTGGCTCTGATCCACAACCCAGGAGCTCCACGGGCTCTACCAGGCCCTGGAGAGTGTGGGCTGAATGGGACAGGGACAGGCACTGTTTTGGGTGGGGATGGCCCCTTTTTGGTCCCATTGAGGGCCCAAATGTCCCTCAATGACCACGTGCCAGCGCCGGCCATCTGCAGTGGTCTCACACCTGCGCCCACCGCGTGCTTGGCACTGGGTGGGCATCCTGGCTCCAGAACCCCCCTGCTCCTCCATCCCGCATGGATGGAGGCTTGGCAGAGCAGCCAGCCGGAGCGGGACCGCATGGGCAGGGATTGGCATCATGGGGAGGGGGGAGCCTGGGGAGGAACAGGGCTGGACTCGATGCCTCATCCCCGTGCTGGATCCATCCCTGGGCTGCAGCAGGGGAGGTGATGCTGAGCTGCTTTGCCTCCTCCCCAGGAGATGCTGCAGCCAGGGCTCGGCTCTGCATCCTCTGGGGTGCTGCAGGGACCGCGCAGGCGGGAGGGGAAGGGGCCAGAGCCCCCCTGCCTGGATGCTGAGGTCTGCCGCCCCCCCGCCCACCTTTTGGGGGGGCAGGCTCTTTCCCCACCTCCCCATTGCTTCTGGATGGAGGAACCCCCTCCCCTTAGGTGCTGAGTGGTGCTGTGCCCCCCCCCCCCCGACACTGTTGCTTCATCCCAGGTCCACGCAGCCCAAGCATTAACATCAAATCAATGCCACCCTCCCTGCAGAGCCTGCTTGCATCCCACTGTGAAACCCTTAAACCCAAACCCACCCTGCATGGTCTTACCATGGGGCAGCCCCTCTCCCAAAGGGGGGGTCAGCAGAAGGACCCAGGCTCCCCCCCACACTTGTTAGAAAGGTTTTATTTCTCTCTATTTACAGACTGCATTTATAAAACCATCAACAATGAAGACCCCCCCATTCCCTCATCCCCCCCACCTTGACATAGCCCTGCCCTACGGGTGCAGGGGGGTGCTGGCCATGGGGCCAAGCCAGGGCATCCCCCTCCCCATCACATTCACATTGCACCCCAAATCCCCCCGTCAGCCCCTGGTCATGCCTTGCCACAGGGGTTGGAGCCAAGCTGCAGCCAGGACCCCCTGCAGAGAGCTGTGGGGCAGACCCCATCCTGTACCCCCCCCCCCTCCAGCAATGGGAAACAGCCCCAGGGGCAGATCTGAGCCCCCAGCCTCAACCCCTGGGATCCCAAGACTCCCTGTTTGTGTGTGTCCATCACCATCACCAGAGCAAGCAGAGGTTTATGGCTTTAAGGAGAGGAGACTGGGGGGGGGGGGGGGATGGACACGAGGGGATCCCCCCAAATACAGGGGTCCCTGAGGGTGAGGGGTATGAAATCCTATAAATTAAAGATGATATAAAGGGGAGTTGAGGTGACTTTCTCCAGGTCAGAGCCAGGATTTGGGGGGGCTGAACCCCTCCCAGCTGCTTGGGGAAGAAGAGATGGAGCCCCTGAACCCCGAGGCCTCTACTGCTATAACAGGAGTGTCTGGGGGCTATGGGGGGGGTCCCCGAAGCACTCCTCCGGTTCAGAGCTCCCTGTGAAGGCAACAAGGGATGGGGGGCACTGCTTTGCCCCCTCTCTGGGGCCAGTATCCTTGTGCAAAGCCCCGTGTCCTCCATGGGGCACCCCGAGCACCTCTCAGTGGGTGAGTTTTGGGGGGGTCACAGCCAAAGGGAGCAACACCCCCTCTGCCCCCAAGGCCGCCCCAAGGCCGGGGGTCACTGGTTGTCCCCCGGCTGGTACTGGGGCTCGGTGGCGGTGAAGTAGTCCTCGAGGAAGGACTGGAGGTACTCGAAGGTGGGGCGCTCCTCGGGCTCCCGCTTCCAGCACTGCACCATCACCTCGTGCAGGGACGGGGGGCAGCTCCCGGGGCACTGCATGCGGTACCCGCGCTCCACCTGCTCCAGCACCTCCCGGTTGTTCATCCCTACGGGATAGGAACACCCATTGGCACCGCCAGGGGCTCGGACAGGGAGGCACAGGGCAAGCCTTGCTGGTCCTGCTGCCCCGAGGGAGCCATACCTGGGTAGGGCACCCGGCCTTTGGTCACCAGCTCTGTCAGGAGGATGCCAAAGGACCAGACATCCGACTTGATGGTGAATTTCCCAAAGAGAGCAGCCTCTGGAGCAGTCCATTTGATGGGGAACTTGGCACCTGCAAGCAGAGGGAGGTGAGCTGGGGCAGGCCTCTGCACCCAGGGTACCCCACATCGGGGCAGCCAGCACTGGGGACAACCCTGTACTGAGGGCGTTCTGCATCCAAGGTACCCTGCAGTGGGAGGATGCTGCGCTGAGACACCCAAGGCATCCTGCATCTGGGATACCCATCATCTGGGGCACCCATCCCCTGCAACACCCACAGAATCCCAGCCTGGTTTGTGTTGAAGGGACCTTAAAGCTCCTCCAGTTCCAAACCCTGCCACGGGCAGGGACCCCTTCCACTGGAGCAGCTTGCTCCAAGCCCCTGTGTCCAACCTGGCCTTGAGCACTGCCAGGGATGGGGCAGCCACAGCTTCTCTGGGCACCCTGTGCCAGCGCCTCAGCACCCTCACAGGGAAGAGCTTCTGCCTAAGAGCTCAGCTCAGTCTCCCCTCGGGCAGGTTCAAGCCATTCCCCTTGGCCTGTCCCTACAGGCCCTTGTCCCAAGCCCCTCTCCAGCTTTCTTGGCAGCCCTTTTAGCCTTTTCAGTTTGCTTCCCCATCACCTGCAGTACCCATCCCCCAGGATACCCATCACTGGTGGTGACTAGCTCCAGCCCCATGTGGGGATGCAGCACGGGGCACAGGGCAGTGGCTGCAGCAGCACTGTGGCACCACAGCAGCTCACCCTGGCGCGCTGTGTACTCGTTGTCCTCAATGAGGCGAGCGAGGCCAAAGTCAGCGATCTTGCACACCAGGTTGTCTCCCACCAGGATGTTGGCAGCACGAAGGTCCCGATGGATGTAGTTCATCCGTTCAATGTAAGCCATGCCCGCCGCGATCTGCGGAGGGGGACACAGTGAGGATGGACCCCATGGGGGCACCCCCACCTCCTTTCAGCATCCCCAGTACCTGGGCAGCCATATCCACCAGCTGGGGCAGCTTCAGGTAGCGGCCATCCCCATCCTTCAGGAAGTCCAGCAAGCTGCCTGCAAGCAGAGGGTCCCATTCAAAGCATCCGAGAACCATCAGTGCCCATCCGAGGGCCAAACCTCCCACCCTAGGACCTGCTCCCTGCCCAGCAGCGCCCATGCAGGGTGAGCCTTGCCCCCTGCTCACCCTGGCTCATGAACTCGGTGACGATGTAGATGGGCTCCTCCGACACCACGGCATAGAGCTGCACCAGCTTGTCGTGCCGCAGGCGCTTCATGATCTGAGCCTCCTCCAGGAAGGCCTCTGGGGACATGGTGCCAGGCTTCAACGTCTTCACCGCCACCTTCGTGGTGCCGTTCCATGTCCCTGCACCAGGGATCACAGCATCAGCACCAGCACAGGGGGCAGGCAGCCCTGGCAGGGCTGGGATGGATGGATGGATGGATGGATGGATGGATGGATGGATGGATGGATGGATGGGTGGATGGATGATGGCTGGATAAAGGGGTGGAGGGAAGGATGTGTGCATGGAGGAGCAAGGAAATCAGGGCAGGGCAAGGAAGGGGCCTGACACCACCATACCCCACCCAGGCCAAGGAGCCCTCCTCATTCCATTTCATGGGGACAAGACACCCCTGAGCTCCTCATACCAACCTTACCCCATTCCCTGTCCCTCCATGGGGAGCTTATACCTGGTACCCCATGATGCTGCTGCCTCCCCCCCCGGCCGGCCAGGCCAGCCTTACCCATCCACACGTCTCCAAAGCATCCCATGCCGAGTTTCTTGTCCAGGCTGATGGATTCCCGCACTATTTCCCAGGCGTCCTTAGCTAATCCCAGGGTCTGGGGCTTCAGAGTGGGGCACACGCAGGTGAGCAGATGGCACAACCCATCGTTACACTCTGCGGGGCGGAGGGATGCAGGGAAGGGAGGAAGGAGGGAGGGAATGCGATGGGATGAATACAGCATGCATGCCAAGCGGAGCGAGCACGGGGCACTGCGGGAAGAGGATGACAGAGAGGGGTCCCCCCGGCCTGGATTTGTGCTCCCATTTGAAATGGGGGGGCTGCTCGCCCATGATGGGGCATCCCCGTTGTGACCCTAGAGCAGGACACGGGACACATTGGTGCCGCTTTCCCTTGGGGTGGGTACCAGGCCTGGGGGTGCCCCTTTGTCACCCCATCCCCACCGCTTGCCCCCGCTTGCCCACCGGGCCCTACCCATCCACACTTCCCCGAACTGCCCATTGCCCAGCTTCTTGAGGAGCTGGAGGGACTCGCGGGGGATCTCCCACACGTCCTTGGTCTTAACAGAGAGGTCGGCCAGCCTGGGGGTCCCCTTGGGGCACGGCACGGCCAGGCGGCAGCACAGCCCGGCCGCCCGCTCTGCAGCACCGGGCGAGGGGACACGCATCACCCAACAGCATCTCACCCGCAGCCCTAAGCCCGGGCATCACCCGCATGGCCCAGGCACCCCTTAACGTCACACACATCAATGGGATAGGGAGATGTTAGGGGGTGCAATGGGGTGCACCCTCTCTTTTGAACCCCAAAACCCCCCATCCAGACCCAGGGGCTATTTACCCCGGAGCTGCCTGCTCCGAGGACATGGAAGAGAGGGGACACTCAGGGTGCTCCCTAATGCCACCCCTTCCCCAGCTCAACCCCGCTGCCTGCCTCTTGCCACTGGGTCTCCTGGGCTTTTCCTACCCTGTGCCATCACCCCTCCATGCCTTTCCCCTCCTGGAATGCCATCCCACCCTACCTATATAGTGCTGGACCAGCTGCTGGACAGTGTCGAACTGCGCACGGGTGGTGATGTAGTAGCCCCCGTTGTCAAGTTTCCGGATCTTATAGTGCTTCACGTGGTCTCCTTTGGCCTCATCCCAGTCCCGGATGGAGAGGGAATAGGCACCTAGGTGTGGGCACGGCTCAGGGGGGGATGTGGGGTGCGCCCCCCGGTGTCCCCATCCCTGTGCCCATACCTTTGGTTGTCTCACTCTCCCGGATGAGGAAAGTGCCCCTGCAGTTGCCATGACACAGGAGCTGCCGCTCCGCATCCTTGCGCCCGATCTTCCCAAAGTACCACCTGCAACGGGGCCGGGCTCAGCATCCCATGGGCACCCCATGGGCACCCCATGCCCTCCCTCCATCCCTGGCCCCCCCCACCTACTCACTCTTCTGCCTGGATCGAGTCCACCGGGGCCACGTAGTTGCTGGGGATGTAGCCGGTGGCACCCGAGCTCAGCGACCTGGCCTCCCACCAGTCACCCTCCCTGTGGGAAGAGGAAGGGACAGGGTTGGACATGGCTGCCCTGCACACAGCACCCCCAGGTCCTGCTCTGCCCCACCGTGGGGCCCTTGTCTCTGCTGAGACCACAACAACTCGTGACCCACATGGCTCTCATAGGTACTCAGTGATAGAGCTGAGTCTGCGTCTGCAGGGGTACCCATGGCGTGGGGACACTGGGGGTGGCAGGAGGGTGCAGGGGGGCTCACGTGTTGTTGATGATGTGGAATTTCTCCCCTTTCTGGAAGGTCAGGTCATCCTCCGTCCTGGCCTCATAGTCATAGAGGGCAATGAAGAGCGTCACACCTCCCCCTGCAGCACATGGCGGGGACCACAGTGACCCCCATGCACCCCCATCACCTCGAGGGTGCACCACGACCCCCCCACTGACCTGAGATGCCCCCGCTCCGCATCTGCAGCGTGTTGGAGGTGAAGGCCCCTGGCCCCAGCAAGGATGGGGCTGCAGGGACTCCTGCGCCGTGGAAGTTGTTGAAGTCAGGGATGCGGGTGAAGATGGCACCGGGCTGCGTGGGGTCGGGGTCGTACTGGGACACAGGGGGCTGGGGGGCACCCAGCTCACCCCCCACTTGCCCTTTGCTGGTGCCCTTCTCTTTGCAGTGCACACAGCCCATCCTGGGCACGACCTGCGGGACAGAGGGACCGTGAGCCCCGCTGACACAGCACACCCGTGTGCACACAGGGACCCTGGCACCCATGGGTGCTCCTGTCTGTGGTGACCCCACTCACTGCAACAGCTCCTCAGGTCACTTCAGCTGCTCCATTGTCACCTCGGGGATGGGAACAGGCTCCTGTGGACAGAGAGGAGGGCACGGGCTAAAACAGCAATCAATGGGCTGCAACACCCCTCGATGGGCTGAAACACCCTGAGGTGGGCTATGAGACACCCCTGCACGGAGTAAACCGTCCCATCCACAGGCTGCAACACCCCTGCATGGGCTGCATTAGCCCTGCATGAGCCAAAGCAGCCCTACATGGGCTGCAATAGCCCTGCAGGAGCTAAAGTATCCCTGCATGGGCTGCAATAGCCCTGCATGAGCCAAAGCATCCCTGCATGGGCTGCAATAGCCCTGCATGAGCTAAAGTATCCCTGCATGGGCTGCAATAGCCCTGCATGAGCCAAAGCATCCCTGTATGGGCTGCAATAGCCCTGCAGGAGCTAAAGTATCCCTGCATGGGCTGCAATAGCCCTGCACAAGCTGCAACACCACTGCATGAGCTAAGGCATGCCTGGATGAGCTGAAACACCCCTGCACAGACTGCAACACCCCTGCATGGGCTGCAATAGCCCTGCATGAGCTAAAGCATCCCTGTATGGGCTGCAATAGCCCTGTGCAGGCTGAAACCACATCCTCAACCAGGTTTTCCTGCTGCTGTGTCCTCAGCGACCCCATCACTGCCCCCCAAGGGGAGATGCATCCCTTTAAGGGTGGGAGGGAGCCCTCACAGTGTTCCTGTCCCCATTCCCTTTGCTCTGTCTCCCTCAGGACACCCCAGCTCCAGCTCCAGAGCACAGGAGATGGAGCCTTTGGGCTGGATGAGCCATTTTCCCCATCACTTGGTTTCAGTTTCCTCTCTCACAGCTCTCCCACCTTTGCTTTCAACACCTGCAGTGTGGCAACACCGCAGCCATTGCCCAACCCCAGCGGCTCGGCTGGTTCAGGTTCTAGTTTTGCTGACCATAAGTGGCTATTTCAGCTGACAAACAGGCCCAGCGCTCCCAAACCCCATCCCCTCCGGTGGGAATCACCCGCCCTGTTGCTGACATCGGGAGGAGCATCCTCCCGGCAGGCACAAGGCTGACATCCCGCAGCACCACGGGGTTCAGCTGCTGCTTGGGCCATGCTCGTGCATGATCCCCCTTCCATGGGTACCCATAAAACTGGTTCCTGACCCTCCCAACAGGGCAGAGCGGCACCAAAACTGTCCCCTTGTGTCATCCTTAGGGGGGGGATGCAGATGGACCCATACCCAATGGCCTTGGCTTTCCAGGAAGGGGCTGCTTGGGAACGGGAGCAGATGGCAACCGGCTCCACCGGCACCGGTCCCAGCCAAGCTGCCAACTGAGCCCCAGCCAACTCATCACCCCTGCCACTGCCACCCCCCCACCGGGCATGGCTGGGGCCTGTCCGTCTGTCCATCTGCTCCATGGGATATGGGGCAGTTCAGCCCCATCCCCAGCTCCGAGCTCAGTGCCCACCCAGTGCCTCCCACCCCATGGGGATCACCCCATTCCCTGCCTCCATTCCCCTTTGGGGAATAATGGTGATGGAGGGGGATATGGAATCACCCTGCACCCAGTGCTATGGAGACAAGGCAGGGTGAAGGTGGGTACCCCAGCACTCAGGGGTGCCAACAGCTCCCCAGAAAGCATTTGGGTGACAGGGGAACCCATCCACACCTACACAGCAGGAGGAGGAAGCAGCAGGAGCACAGCATGGCAGAGGAGGAGGAAGAGGATGGTGCATGGGGATAACCATAAGAGGATCCCCTGAGAGTGGGTTTCCCACCGGAGCATCCCACCCTAGTTGGGTGGAATGGATAGGAAGCACCATGGGCAGGGTGCTGGTGGTCCAGTGCTATTCCTGGCCACTCTTCAGCAGTGATGCCCACAGGGACACCCCTTCCCCTGCCTGCACATGAGCAGGACAAGGCTCAAAGGGGGCTCCTGGCCCCCAAAACCAGCTCTGACCTGGAAGAAGGAGCTCCCCCCCCCGCCTTGCCCCGGCCTCCCAGCCCCACCGCTGGCTGGGAAAGCAGGATTTCCGCTGGAAGAAGAGCAATTCCCGGATCCGAGGGGCTGCAGGGGCGGAGGGAGGGCTCCAAATACAATGTCCCGGGAGGAGCGGGGTGGGGAGGGAATTGTGCAGGGCAGGAAGCGGCGAGTTCCTGTCCCTCCTTGGGACACACCAAAGGACCAGGGACAAGCAGAGCAATGGGGAGCGGGGGGAGCGCCCACTCTGGCCATGGCCTGACACCCCTATAGCTGCCCCAGCATCCCACCATGGCACCCACTGGGCTGCCACAACATAGGCATCATGGGGGCTGGGGAGAGCAGAGGGGTGTTCCCCCATCACCCCCAGCACCCTGGAGTGCTGTGACCCCCTCCCAGGTCCAGCACAGGCAAAAGGCACCATCTGTCCCCCCACAGCTTCCCCATTGCCACCCATTAGTGCCGGGAGAGTGAGCGCCTGCCCCGTGCAATGTCCCCCCTCTGACCTGCTGCCCCCAGCAAGGGAGGTTGGGGGTCCGCTGTTCACACACACAACCCCCCCAAGTCTCACTGCAGCAGCCGGTGTTGCCCAGTGGGGAGCAGTAAGAGCAGGACCCATAGCATCCCCCAAGGCTCAGTGGAGCTCCATCCCCATGGCTCAGTGCCCCATCCCACCCCAGACCCACAGCTGCCCCACACATGGCGGGGGGGGGGGGAACACAGCAAAGGGACCGATTGAGAGGCACCCCCGTCCTGCCCATCCCACCTACCGCCAGCCCTGCTGCTCCGGCTCGCATGGACCCCTGCTCCCGCGCTGCTCCGGATGGGACCTCAGGCTGGGGAACCACCGCAGAGCCCCGAGCCCCGGCCGGGGGGTGCCGAGGCGCTGTGGGTGCTGTGGGGAGCGCAGCGAGGTCCGTGTGCGAGCGCTTCCCCTGTCTCTTCGGCAGCTCTCGCAGCAGAGCAAGGAGCTTCCCCTCCCCTCGCCACCCCTTCCTCCCAGCGCTCCCAGCCCCGGCTCTCGGTACCAGCGCCCGCCGGGATCCAGCTCTGGGGGACCCGTCCCTGCTCCCAGCGATGCGCCAGGCTGGGGGCTGCCTGCACCCATCACCCCCGGCACCCCCCGAGGGTGGCAAAGGGACAGCGGGTTGCGAACAGGGGCCACGTCCCAGCGCGGTGAGGGCAGGGGATTGTGGCCACATTGCAGCCCCCATGTCCCTGCAGCACCAGGCTGGATTGCAGGTGCAGGGATGGGGGTCCTGCCCCACCTCGCCAGGGCCTTCCTCTGCCCTCTCCTCCTCCTCCTCCTCGCCCGTGGTTAGCCCTCGCAGGCTGACCTCTTTCCTGTGTGAAGGTGAGCCTGGCGCCGGTGTTTCCTGTTCTCATGGGGGGGACAGGATGGGGACTGATCCACACTGTCCCTTCCACCCCACACATCCTGGGAGCACAGCTCCTCTTCATCCCATCCTCGGGACTTGCTGAGGTGGGTTCAGACCCCGTTGGGGATGGAGCCAGCCTTGCCACAGTGTCCCTGTGTAGGGGCCAAGGCACAGCAGGGACATGGGCTGCTCAGGCTCCAGCCCCACGGGGGGCATCACCCCTGGTGATGCTGAGCCCTGCCTGCACCCCTGGGTGCCCCACACCCCAGACAGGGCCGGTTCATCCCCTCCTCCAGGGAGGGCCCCAGCTTCTGCATTGGCTCCTGCCTGATTTCACCATCACCAGCTCTTGCTTAAAGGGAAGAGGTGGTGCTGGGAGCCGGGGCGGCGAGGATGGGTGCTCTCCACTGGGTCATAGCCTGTGTGCTCTGCGCCATCACCCGGGGTGAGTCTGTCCCATTGGGACACCCAGAGGTGGGAGCTGGGGTGGTTGCTGCATCCATCACTGCTCCTCCTGCAGCTGGCAGTGGATGTGGGTGCCCAGACCCAGGGTGTGCTGAGCACCCATAGGAGAGGCTGGGTGACACCAGTGGGGCAGCGGGGGCTGCCTGTATCAGGTTGGATAGGGTTTGGAGCAAGCTGCTCTAGCGGAAGGTGTTGCTGCCCATGGCAGGGAGTTGGAGCTGGGTGTCTGGTCCACCCCATCCCCAGCTTGGCCTTGGTGGGGCTCAGCCCCACTGAGCCCTGCCCCTCTTCTTCCTTCCAGGACAGGACCCTGGGCTCTCCCGCTCACCCCCTCACTTCGGCTCCATCTACCATGTCCGAGGTAATGGGACCCTGCAGCACCCCTTGGCTGGGGGGAGCGGAGGATGCTCAGCACCCGACAGGACCAGGCTGTCCTAACCCAGGAGCCACGGGGACAGCAGCTTGGCTGGCTGTGGGGCTGCATCCTCTATGGGTGAAGGGTGGGATGTTGGGGTGCTGAGGCCATGTCTCTCACAGGTGTCATTAACCTGCCCTATGCTGAGATCGAGGAGCCCTTCGAAGCCTGGTACAACCTGACAGGGAACAAGAGCCGCATCCAGTATTATGGGGGTAATAAGGAAGCAGGAATCCATCTGCTCCAGGCTGTGCCCACCCTGCCCCATCCCGGTCCAAAGGGTCAGGAGCACCGTGCCTCAGTTTCCCCATCCCACTGGCACAGGGCAGGTGATAACGTACCAGCTGGCAGCGGTGAAGCCCTATGGGATGCGGTACAAGATCACCCCAGAGACCACCGAGAAGGAGGTGAACACCAAGAAATGCTTCCAGCTGCCTGGCTCCGAGGAGGACGTGGTCAAGGCTCAGAGCGTCTTCCCCCCCATGGATGGCTTCAAGGTGAGTGATGCCAGAGCCTGGATCCCACTCATTGCCCGGAGCATCCTCACGTTCTGGGCTGGGGTTCAGGGCAGCCGGGGCTGCTCCCCTCCATCCCAGGGACAGGCCGGGACACGTTCCTGTGCCCCAGGGCGCAGGGAGGGTCACTTCCCACCTGGATTGGGGCCGGACTCCCGCCTCCTTTCCCAACACCATGTTGGGACGTGTCGCAGCCCACACGGATGCCAGCGTTTTGGGATGGTTTGGGCAAGTCCCTGCATGGCAGCGGCTCAGCTCCTGCTGTGTGTCCACAGGGAAAGAGCTTGGAAACACACAGGAAAACCCTTTAGGAGAGGGTGTGAAGTCAGGGACACCCCTCTGTGTGTGCACAAACAGCACTGTATGCAACGGGGTGTCCCCAGGGCACTGCTGAGCTGGATAATCATGGAATCCCAGCCTGGTTTGGGTTGGAAGGGACCCTTGCCCCTTTGTCCTCTCCCTACATCCCTTGTCCAAAGGCCCTCTCCAGGTTTCCAGCACTGGAGCTGCCTTGCCCTGCTTCCCCCCCCCATGCTCGGCTGTTTGCTAATGGCCACATAGCTGCTGGATCCAAGAGCTTGGCGAGGGCACATGAGCTGATGCTGTGTCCCCACCAGTTCCTGCGGGAGGAGTACTACCGGGGCCGGTACTGCGCCGTGTGGCAGAACATCACCCACTGGGCACAGAAGAAGAACGTCTACACACTGTGGGTGACCAACTCCAGCTGCGGGGTGGCCCCCGTCCACTACGAGATGCGGGGCTACAACAGCCTGCTGGGCTCCCACTACGACAAGTACGAGATCGCCTACACCGACTTCGACAACAGCTTCCCACCTTCCATCTTCGACCTCCCCATCAACGGTGAGCCAGGGACGGAACCCCACCATCGTGTCTATAGGGTGTCCATCGTGTCCACAGGGTGTCCATCGTGTCCATAGGGTGTCCATTGTGCCCATAGGGTGTCCATTGTGTCCATAGGGTGTCCATCGTGTCCACAGAGTGTCCATCGTGTCCACAGGGTGTCCATCGTGTCCATAGGGTGTCCATCGTGTCCATAGGGTGACCATTGTGTCCATAGGGTGTCCATTGTGTTCATAGGGTGTCCATCGTGTCCATAGGGTGTCCATCGTGTCCATAGGGTGTCCACTGTGTTCATAGGGTGTCCATCATGTCCACAGGGTGTCCATCGTGTCCATAGGGTGTCCATTGTGTCCATATGGTGACCATTGTGTCCATAGGGTGTCCATTGTGTCCATAGGGTGTCCATCGTGTCCATAGGGTGACCATTGTGTCCATAGGGTGTCCATTGTGTTCATAGGGTGTCCATCGTGTCCATATGGTCCATGTGTCAAGGGTTCCATGTGTCATAGGTGTCCATCTGTCCAAGGGTCCATGTGTCCAAGGGTGTCATGTGTCACAGGTTCCATCGTGTCCATAGAGTGTCCATCGTGTCCATAGGGTATCCGTCGTGTTCACAGGGTATCCATCGTGTCCACAGGGTATCCATCGTGTCCATAGGGTATCCATCGTGTCCATAGGGTATCCATCGTGTTCACAGGGTATCCATCGTGTCCATAGGGTATCCATCGTGTCCACAGGGTATCCATCGTGTCCATAGGGTGTCCATCGTGTCCATAGGGTGTCCATCAAGGGTGTCCATGTGTCATGGGTTCATCTGCCATAGGGTATCCATCGTGTCCACAGGGTATCCATCGTGTCCATAGGGTGTCCATCGTGTCCATAGAGTGTCCATCGTGTCCATAGAGTGTCCATCGTGTCCACAGGGTATCCATCGTGTCCACAGGGTATCCATCGTGTCCACAGGGTATCCATCATGTCCATAGGGTATCCATCGTGTCCACAGGGTGTCCATCGTGTCCATAGGGTGTCCATCGTGTCCATAGAGTGTCCATCGTGTCCACAGGGTATCCATCGTGTTCACAGGGTATCCATCGTGTCCATAGGGTGTCCATCGTGTCCATAGAGTGTCCATCGTGTCCATAGAGTGTCCATCGTGTCCACAGGGTGTCCATCGTGTCCATAGGGTGTCCATCATGTCCATATGCTCACGACATCCTCTCCTTGCCCTGCAGAGACGAAGAAGTGTGGGGTCCTGCCGGGGAGCGCGGTGGAGCACCGTGTGCTGGCCAACCCCATGGAGGACCTCGTGGGACAGCACCAACCCTGGGCCCATGAGGTCTTCCACCACTACCGCAGGCAGCATGGCCGGCGGTACGGATCCGTGCGGGAGCTGGAGCACAGGCAGAGCATCTTCGTGCACAACATGAGGTACGGGAGGATGGATGGATGGATGGATGGATGGATGGATGGATGGATGGATGGACGGACGGACGGACGGACGGATGGATGGATGGACGGACGGACGGATGGATGGATGGATGGACGGACGGACGGATGGATGGATGGATGGATGGACGGATGGACGGATGGATGGATGGATGGATGGACGGATGGACGGATGGATGGATGGATGGATGGATGGACGGATGGATGGACGGGGAGAAGCCCTCGGGTCTGGGTTAGGGTTAGGGCTGCGCCGGTGCCGGTGCCGGTGCCGGTGCCAGCTGAGGCCGTCCCCGCACGGGGCAGGTTCGTGCACTCCAGGAACCGCGCCGCGCTCTCCTACACGCTGGCCCTGAACCACTTGGCCGACCGCACGCCCCAGGAGCTGGCTGCACTGCGGGGCCGCCGCCGCAGCCGGGCCCCCAACACCGGGCAGCGCTTCCCCAGCGAGCTCTACACCGGCCTCATCCTGCCCGAGAGCCTCGACTGGCGCATGTATGGTAGGTGCGGTGCTGGGGTGGTGGTGGCAGCGTCCTGAGAGCCACCGCGCTCCCCATCACCGTGCTGTGGGGCTGTGTTATCCCTTGGGATCCATGGCTCCCTGTGGCTCTGTTCCGCAAATGGAAGATGGAAGCAGGGGAGAAGCTCTTCCCTATGAGGGGCACTGGGATGGGTTGAACCAAGAAGTTGTGGCTGCCCCATCCCTGGCAGTGCTCTAAGGCCAGGTTGGACACAGGGGCTTGGAGCAAGCTGCTCCAGTGGAAGGGGTCCCTGCCTGTGGCAGGGGTTGGAGCTGGAGGAGCTTTAAGGTCCCTTTC